TCATCTGTATTGAAATCATGATGTGAGCCAGGCATCGTGCCAGGCACTGGTGAACTCCGGAGGTCTGGTTTTCATTCTCATGGAGCCTCTGGTCCAGCAGGGGAAAACAGAATGTGCAATGAAGGCAAGGTCAGGACCCCTGGGATCTATAATAGGACTTCTAATGGAGCCTGGCAGCCCCAGGAGAGCTTCAGAGAGGAAGTGATGTTCAATTTTGACCTGAGTGATGAGCCGGGGTTAGTAGTTGAGGGGAGTAGAGTGTGTATGTTGGAGGAGGGAGTTGAGGAGGAGGGAGCCGTGTATGAAAACAGCCTGAAGCAGGAGGAGGAACCTCGAGAGGGGTCACCAGGGCAGAAATATTCACCTTGTTCACATCCAAACACCTAGTACCACACCTGGCACCAATGAGGCACTCTATAAATACCTGGTTGCCTGAATGAATGATTGGATGAATGTTTATATGAAATTCCTCCTAGCTGAAGTAGAGTGGAGGAAAGTCCAGCCTGAGAAGGAGTCTGAGAGGTGGGCATCAGCCAGATCATGCAGGGTCTTGAAGGTCATGGTTAAAGGGCTAGGACTTTATAGAAGGGAAATGGAAGAACAACAATAATGACCTCAAAGAAATGGGAGGGGATACAACCGATGCTGAGTTGTGGCATGGGCTTATTGGCATTTTTAAAAAGTCACATTGGCTACTGAGGAGAGAATGGCCTGGCAGAGCAGGTAGCTGGAGGTGACAGTAGTGGCGGGAAGGGAAGAAAGTGGAAAGATTCAGGAGAGAGTGAGGGGGTGGAATGATCGGGACTTGAGACAAGGATGACTCACACACATGCTTCTGGCTGGCTCAACAGGCTGGGTGATGCGGCCATTCACCCTGGTAGGGGAATAGGTAGAGAAGATGAGGAGTTTTTATACATACTGAAATTAAGATGCTCAAGAAACATCCAAACAAAAAAGTCAAGTAGGCTGTGGGATGTGTGGGCTGGCGCTCAGAGGAAGGCTGACATCTAGATGATAGCTGAAACCACAGGGAAGAATATCACCCAGGCAGAGAATAAAGCAAGAGGAGGCTAGGACCTAGAACTCAGCCTTCAGTGGCTACAGAGAGGAAGAGAAGTCAGCAGATGAAACGAAAAGGGGAGAGAGGCAGGTAGTAAACTAGAGAGCACGGGGCCACACAAGTCGGAAGGAGAATGTTTTAAGAAAGAAGCAGTCTTCTGAATTAAGAATGAGGGGTTTATCAACAGGAAAGCTATGGAAGACATGAGTTTCTATAAAAATATAAGTGATGATTACTTTTATCTCAGTCCTAAGGAAGGAGACCTGGAGAAGGAAATGCAACCCACTCCAGTATTCTAGCCTGGAGAATTCCATGGACAGAGAAGCCTGGTGGACTACAGTCCATGGGGTCTATATGGCCACAGTCCAAAGAGTTGGACACGACTGAGTGACTAACACACACACACACACACAAGGAAGGAGACTATGTTCCAGAAACAGGACTTGGGAACCCTCTAATAAGGGAGGCTCTGGACACTGGGAACCTCACAGGTTAATTGTAATCCTTTCCCCTTTGGGGTCAGGCTTTCTGTCTTTGAGAGAAAGAAAAGCTGTCCGTGAGGAGCTTCAGACACAGGAGGAAAGAGCCTTGGAAAACACGCTCGTAAAGCATCAGCAAGGACATGTGATGTAGCACGGAAAAAACCAGAGCCCCGTGATTCATTCATTCAACAACACATGTATTGAGTCTCTACTACTTACCTGACACAAAGATCTCAAGCCATAGACTATATTTTGAGCTATTAGTGTATGCATCGCATTAATTCCATGAGTCTTTTGTCCTTTCAACAAAAGGGTAAATTCTCAGAGCAGAATGTTTCCTTTACCCCCTTATCTCCCACCAAATTGGGATAACTCAGCTATTCTTGGCAATTCACCCGTCCCACAATTTCCCATGAATCCATTCCTTCTACCTAGAATGTCCTCCAACTGCCTAAATCCTCCTCCTTTTCAAGGCCCAGTTCAGATGTCACTTCCTTTGTGAAATTTCCCCAAATGCGTCAAACTTAATCCTCCCTTCTCAGAGTTCCTAAGGGCCAGAAATAGCTCTTTTCTTCCTACATAGTGTCGATTTCTATGTGAGGCTTCTGTCTCCCAGCTGTATCTTCTTACAACCCCCAATGCCTAATAGAGCTGCTCAGTAAATTTGTCAAAAAATCAGGTACCTGCCCCCTCCAGCGCGTCCCTGGTCCAAGTACAGCTCTGCACCCCAGACTGTAGGCTTGGAGGGAACCGACGACTCAGAAAATGCTACTCTGATGCCGCCTCCTGGCTACATGGGATATGACAGCTCCTGATTCTGGGCTTTCAACGCAAATTTTTGTTCTTTCATTCATTCTTTCATCACGTCTCTGCCATCTATACTCTAAGTATACTGGTGACCAAGACAAATGCAGTTCCTGATCTCAAAAAAGTTTAGCATCTAGGGAAGAAGACAATCTCAGAACTGGAGTGTGCTGTGATCCTGAAAGTTTTGAGACCTCACGAAAGGCTTTCCTGTCCTGCCTGTCCCTCAGGCTGCCATGTGCCGAGGCCATGACTGGGACATAGTCTAAGCAGGACATTGTCCTTTTGTGGCACTTGGGCTCTCAATTGGGAAGGCGGTCCTCCACATTTCACCCACCATACACCCCCCCACCAATTTTGTTTTTCAAAGTTTATTGATAACAAGAAAAATAGTAAACACTACAATATAGTTCTCGTTTGGTGCCTCTAAATGGCTGGTCCATGTCTTCTAGTCTTGAAATCAGTTTTAGAGCAAGAAGAGACCTTCATTCTTTCATTCATTCATCCTGTAATTACTTATTGAGCACAGTTAGGTGCCAGGCATTGCATTAAGTGCTGAGGACATAGTAGGGAATAAGGACATAGTATAAAGGTCTGTCCAGTCAAGGCTATGGTTTTTCCAGTGGTCATGTATGGATGTGAGAGTTGGACTATAAAGAAAGCTGAGCACTGAAGAATTGATGCTTTTGAACTGTGGTGTTGGAGAAGACTCTTGAGCGTCCCTTGGACTGCAAGGAGATCCAACCAGTCCATCCTAAAGGAGATCAGTCCTGGGTGTTCATTGGAACGACTGATGTTGAAGCTGAGGCTCCAATACTTTGGCCACCTAATGTGAAGAGCTGACTCACTGGAAAAGACCCTGATGCTGGGAAAGACTGAAGGAGGGAGAAGGGGATGACAGAGGATGAGATGGTTGGATGGCATCATCGACTAAATGGACGTGGGTTTGGGTGAACTGTGGGAGTTGGTGATGGACAGGGAGGCCTGGCATGCTGCGGTTCATGGGGTCGCAAAGAGTCAGACACGACTGAGCGGCTGAACTGAACTGAACTGATACACTCTCATGACATTTGTGTTCTCTTTGGGGAGACAGGAAACAAAGCAAGTACACAACTTTTAATATTTATGTATTTATTTGTAATAGGTGGTACACTGTATGATTCAAAATACAAAAAGGTACACAGTGAAGCCTCCCATTCCTGCCCCTAGCCACCTAGCTCCCTCCATAGAGGCCAGCAATGTTATCAGTTTCTTCTGTACCCATCCAGTGAAAACATATGAATATACAAGCAAATATATTCTCCCCCCCCCCACCTTTTATACAAACGGTGGTATTCTACACACTCTGCACTGCACCTTGGGATTTTCACTTAACAATATATCTTAAGAAATCATTCTATATCAATACATAGCTATCTTTTATATAGTTGTATGGTATTCCATTGTGTGAATGTTGCATGGTTTAAAATAATAAATGTGAGGATGCAAACAGAAAATAAGTAGGGAGGTGAATTTTTAAAAACAAAGGAGAACTGGCTTTACCTACAGTGGTCAGGAAAGAATGCTCACGCTCAGGAAATGATGTTGAAGCTGAGCTCAAGGAAAAAAAAGAGAGGAAATCACCAGAACACAGGAGGAAGAACGTGCAAGCGAGACAAAGGACTGCCAAGGCGGAAATGAGCTTGGCATCCTGGAGGAGCTGGAGACCACTGTGTCTGGAACCAGAGCCAGATGGTGATGGGCCCTGCAGGCCAGGAGGAGCACAGGGGTGACGCTAAGTGCAGCGGGCAGCGAAGGGCTCAAGAGAGAAATGGGCATGCTCTGATTTATACGTGTACATTCACTTAGGCAGCCGTGTGGAAAGTGGACTAAAGGACAAGAGTGATAGGAGATGAGGAAGGAGGCAGATGCAGTACCCCAGGCAGGAAATAAAAACAGCATGGAGATGCGGTGGCAATGCAGATGAGAAACACCGGCAGTGTGGGGATTTATTTTGGTAGCAGGGTTGACATGATTGGAAGGTCAACCTCATAGATCATTTAGCCTAGTTCCCTCACTTCCTGGGCTGACCAAGCCTAATGACTTGCTTGCCACAGGTCACAGAAAGCCTTTATGATAGATCCAGACCTAGAATTCAAGGCTTCTGACTTCCAGGTCAGTGTTCTATCTCCCCAAGAAATCTGGAATTGGAGAATAGAAACTGTATTTTTAAAATTCTGTTAACCAGTAATTGATGTTCAATTATTTTAAATTGTGTCAGCTTTTTATTAGCTTTCCTGACTCTCCACCGTAGAGTAGAGAGACAGATCTGAGGTGAGTGGAATCCCAGGTTTACTGCTGCCTACTGTAAGCCCAGAGCAAGGGAAGCTGGCAGTATGGGAGATAGAAGAGCGAATGTAAATAGGATAGTCTGGAGAGATCTCGCTGGTGAGGGAATCCCTGCTGAAAAAGGGGTGATTGGGACTTGCAGATAAATGAGGGAAGGTATTCCAGGTGGAAGACCCAGCCAGGGCGCAGGCCCTGTGATAGGAGCCTGGCATGTATGAAGAGAAGCGGGGAGGACAAGGTGAGTGAAAAAATAAGAATGAGATGAAAATGGAATTGTGATGCTCAAGATGGCATAAGAATTTGTGAGCTGTTGAAGGCTTTGGCCTCTACTCTATAGAGATGGGAGCCAAGACAAAGTCTGAGCTCCAAAGTGGCATGATCTGAGGTATTTCCCACAGGATCCCTTTAATTGCTGTGTGGAGGACAGAAAGTGAAAGTCGCTCAGTTGTGTCCGACTCTTTGTAACCCCATGGAATTCTCCAAGCCAGAATACTGGAGTGGGTAGCCTTTCCCTTCTTCAGGGGATCTTCCCAACCCAGGGATCGAACCCAGGTCTCCTGCATTGCAGGAGGATTCTTTACCAACTGACCTATCAGGGAAACCAGCTGAAAGACAGGTGCAATCATCTAGGTGAGAGAGGATAACTTGACCATAGATATGCTGAGACGTGGATAACCAGTAAGACTTACGGACAATTATGATGTAGGATATAAGGAAGAGAGTCAAACATTACTCTCAGGATTTGGCCTGAGAAATGAGAGATGAAGTTATTGCATGAGATGGGGCAGATGAGGAGGGGAGGGGTGTAGTTTTATGTAAGTGTTAGGTTTGAGGTGTTGGTGAGACTTTAGTGGAGAGACTGCACTGGCAACTGAATATACCAGAGTGCCAGGGACAGACCTGAACTGACTCTACATTTGGGAGTAGTTGGCACATGGATGGTGTTTAAAGCCCTTGGACTGGATGAAATCTAGTGAGTGTAGGTCAAGGACTAAGCCCCTGGATCACTCTGGCATCAAGAGGGCAAAAACCAGAGGAAGAACCAACCAAGGAGACTAAGTAGGAACAACCAGTAAAATAGGAGGAAAACCAGGAAGTGTGTGTGCCATGCTGGAATCCAAGTGAAAAAAGTGTATCAAGGAGATCACATGCCATTTGTAGGTCAAATAGGGGCTGAGAATTAACAATGTATGGTCACAGGTTCAGTGCCACTGAAAAGCCTGATTGGAGTGGGTTAGAGAAAATTAGGGGAAAATGGCACCAGGGAGTAACAGCTTCCTCTTTGGGGTCTTGCTGCAGAGGAATGGAGAAATGAGTTGTAACTGATAGGAGAAATGGGGGGAAAGGCAGCACATTTTTGTGCTGATGGGAATGATCCAATAGAGGTAAAATTGGGATATGGAAGATTTGATGGAGTGATGTTCCTGAGATGCTGAAAGACTAAGGTCTGGTGTGCAAGGGAACTCTCTAGAAACATACGTAGTCCCAAATGCCTTGATTCACAAACTCTTAAGCCTCATCAGAATCACCTGGAGCACTTACTAAAGCATAGATTGCTGGGCCCCACCCTCAGAATTTGATTCAGTAGGTCTGAAGTGGCATCCAATAATTTGCATTTCTGACACGTTCCCCAGTGGTGCATATACTGCTGGCCCGGAGAGAAGGCTTTAAGATACATCAATCTACAGTTATGAGGTAAGTAGATGGAGTGGCAGGAGTCAGTGATTTTCATTCTGATTGCTTCACTTTTCTCAGTCATGTAAAGTCATTGAGAGTGAAGATGGGATATGGGGTGTTGGAGGTTTGAGGAAAGAAAGTAGGAAATGGTTGTCTTGTGAGTAGGAAAAGTGAACAGATGGGGTGAAATGTTGAAATGATCTCCCTCCTGAGGTCAATGATCATGAATTTAAGACAGGACGCTGGCTGAATGTTTTTATACAACCACTCTAAACTGTACACATGTGGGTAGGTGAAGAATTTTATGTAACCAAGATTGTGGTTTGTCAATTAAAACAGATGAAGAGAAAGGGGCATGAGAGTTGACAGTGAATACAAGGTAGGAGGGAGATTATGAGAACCATGAAGTTTAATCTAGGAAACAAGAGGTGAGGTGTGGTGAGGTAAAATGATATACTTTTCTCAAAAGTTGAGTGCGTTCTTCTCAAAGCCTTACCCAGCTTGTCTTCATCACTCACCTCTCTGAATTTGTTAGCATGACTCTTCCAGCCTCAAACATTTATCTTGTGTTATTTTCTCTATAGCACTCATCCCAGAATTGAAGTCCCACTGAAGAAAGGGCTTTCAGTTTTCTGCTGTGGCCCCAGTGCCTAGAATTCTGCCTGGCATTTAGCAGTCCTCCCCAACATTATCCTCCTTATCCCAATCCTGGCCAGCTTACTCTTCAACCACATCCAGGACATGTCCTAGACTTCTGCATCAAAGTACCTTGATTTGGAATGACACTCATCTAAAAACACAGTGCCTAACTCTTCAAGTTGAAAGGCTTTGGGGAAATGTCTGGAAAAGTTTGGGTCCCAGTGCTTCAGAACAACAAGATGACGAGTTCAAGGTTCTGCCAGGTAGCTTTCGATGACAGAAACCTAGGTCCTTGGGGCACTACTCACTCCAGGATCCTAGAAGGTCAACCATATTGTTCTAGAAGACCTGGGTCCTTCTCAGGCAGACCAAAATAGAAAAACTCCTGAAATTGTGATGGGGGAGGGGCAGAGAGACACACACTGTAGATGGGTTAGTATTATCCCATCTTTGTAAAATAACTTAAAATTATATGCATTATATTCAGGAATACACACATGCTATATACTATATACTGAATTTACATATAAAGCAATTTGTTTAATGATTTAGAAGGATAGATAGCAAAGTGTTATACCAAGATATACTTTTTTAGTCTATATATCTAACTGTCTGGACAGATTGTTTTGATTAGAAAAGCACTAATAGTTAAAATGAATCTAAATTCCCACAAAAACCATACATCAAGTGGCTTCAGAGGTCAATTCCTCTTTCCAGTGAGGAAATACGTGCAAAGAGTAATTCCCTGACTTTCCCAATCAGACATCTCATTGATGGAGCAGAGTACCTAGGAGTGAGCTCAAACTGCCAACAGAAGATGAAGAGGCAAGGAGCTCATGTGGTTCCCACTGAGTAAGAAAAACCTAGGAAGATCCAATACTGAAAGGGAAATCTGCCAGGTATTTCTTCTCTTCCTACTGTGTCCCTCCCACAACTGTAAACCTGCACAACACTGCAATCCTTGAACTAAACTGCGGACAAGAATCTTAACCGTTTCCCTCTCCCTCAGTGCCCAATAGCACCAATACAGACAGAATGACTGAACAGATAGGAAAAGCAGATGAACACACTCTCACGAAAAACTGGACAAAGCAGCAAAATTGGGAGTTTCCTTAGGGAGCTTCCCCTTTAGGGAAACTCCAGGGTAACTTTATTTTTAGAGCACGTGAACACTGCCCATCGCCAGCAGGTGGGGCCACAGTAACAGTTTTACAACCTTCAGCCAGCCACGCGGTTGAGCATTTTAAATGGGAGAAGCAAGCAAAAGTCATGCATGGCACTAATGTCATCTTTGCTCTGCTAGCAGGGTAGTGTGAAACCCCAGTTCCCTGTCCTTCATGCAGCAGAGACCTAGCTCACCTGCGAAGGTAAGAGGGTTGGCACTAAGAGAGGCTTTTGCACGAGTGCAAAAGCAGAACCTACACCATCTTGAACCCACATTTCTCGCGGTCAAAGTCAGGGGAAAATCAGAGCAAATGATCAGGTATGCAGAGCGGCCCCCCCAGGCTGCAGCGGGCTAGTTGGCGGGGTCGTGGAAGTACGGAGAATCAGGTTAGCAGGGCAGGACCCGCCTCCCTGCGGGTCACGATGCCGTGGCCACCAGGCGCGGCGCCAACCTGCGTGCTGTCCAGTCACGGAGCCCAGCGACCGGAAGGAGGGTGGGCGGGTGCCCTACACTCCCTCCCCTGCAGGCGAGGCTAAGGCCAGTCCAGGGAACCTGCAAGCAGAGCCCTGCAGGTTTGTGGGACTTCTTCCAACCCACGTAATCTCCCTGCGGCTTATTACCCTACAGCCATGTCAGCTTTCCACGTGCAAACCCAGAAGCTGTAACAAGTATTAGTTTCAAAGAAAGGCTTGTCTCAGGGGTAAGGAGTTTCACCCACTGCCAGAAACAGGGCTAGCAGTGAGTGATACAGTCGTGAGAAAGTGGCGATACTATCACAGGCAAAAAAACAGTAAGACTGTAAACTGACTTTATGAAACCTGAATCCTCAGGACACTTTAACTCACTTTCATTTTCAGAGGGAAGGCTCCTACATTCATGACACAAGACTACATTTCCAGGGGGGTAAAATCATTTTTCAAATAAGAGTGGGAATATTCAAGTGCTATCTGCTCCCTAATGAAAAACGTCAGCATATGACCACTTACTTTTCCACAGGCAGAAAAAGCTCTGAACCCCTAAAATAGTTTAGGTGGGGTGGAAGTCAGGATTTTCAACCTTTTGGGTCTCTAATTTACAACACTAAAAAGACAGAAATTACGGAAGGGTGCAAACCAACCCATACTCATTGGCCTCCACTCTAGATGAAGTATTAATAAACCAAGTGAAAAGCTCTCTCCACAACTCCAGAAGACTGGTACACAGCTCTACAAAAGTGGAAGAGATGAGTGGTTAGGTGTTTTGATTAGGCTAAATAATTCTTCACTTATACAAGAAATAAAGCCCCCACTTTAATAATCTGTTGCAGTTCAAAGTGTTGCTTTAAAAAAAATCAAGGGTTGGTTTCTAAATACTCTCCAATAAAAAGAATCTTTGTTCCTTGGAAAAATGGGGCTGAGAGACTAAAAATACAAGACTAACCAAGAACATCTTATAGTACATACCAGAATGTTAAGGAAAGGCTCCCAAGAACACTGGGGGCATGTCAAAAGGACACAGGAGCCAACTTGAAGGAGCGCCCAATGGCCAAAGCTGGGACAATTTGAGCAACAAATGATAGCACTGACCCACAGAATAAAATACTTCTGAGTCCATACTGATGTCACTAAATAAATAAAATGGGGAGAAGGGACAGTTTCTCCTTACAGTAGAATTCTAATAGTACAAATGTAGAAGAAATAATAGACATAATGAATTAACACTTGGTAAATGTCACATACTTGATAGCCAGTGAATAACAATCCAAGGTGTCAAAATTAGTGAACAAAGACTGTTTAAAATTATATCCCTCCATAAGTTATTCACTACAAAAGGAAACGATAACTTTACAGTGGAGAAACACAGCAAATACCACCTGAATGTGATCAAAGTTAACACCACCAATAATAATACATATGGACATCATGTATCTAGATATAGTGCACCAAGAAGGGCATATGATTTTTGCAGTATTCTTACCAAAATAGAACTTCAATCTAGTAGTGAGACAGTGTTAGACAAAGTCAGTTCGAGGGGCACTATATAAACAACTGGCAAGTACTCTATCCAAGTGTCAAAATCATAAAAAATAAAGGCTGAAGAACTGCAGTCTACAGACTAAAGACAACTAGACACACCATGGGATCCTGGACTGAATGCTGAGCTGGG